CTATTGTGACATAATCACTTCACAAGTGACAACTTAAAGTGACACTAAACTCAGGAGTTCAATCTTACAAATGCATTCCAGTCCCTGAACTCTGAGCAACAATGTATCTTATTTGTGTATCACTCGGCTGGAGATCCTCCAATCACCTCTGACACTGTCCTTCCTTCTGGAGGGGTGACTACATCTGTTCCCCATGGTCCCTGTGTGTGGTGTAAGGTAGTCACCGCTCCGAGCTCCCCCCCGGGATGGACTACAATCTCAGGTTTAGTTTAATACTTTGTATTGGGATTGTAATCCATCATGGGACTGATATGGGGGATGTCCAACAATTTTGCATGGGTTTGGGGTCAGGTGTCCAAGAATGTGTTGTATGTTATATGTGTTTCTATCATTAAAAAAAGAGAACTATCAGGGGGGTGATTTCTACTCCTCCTCCTCATAGTTCTAGCCGACGTGTGACAATGAAAATGAAACTCGGCTCAATAGATCGGGAAGTGAGAGAACGCATACCGTCGCTCGCTCACTTCTCGATCCTGTCCCTGCAGAGAGCCGTGACTGTCACTCACGGCTACCCGCAGGGATTCCCCCCTCCTCTGTCGGATCCTCCAGCGCTGACTGGCTGAACGGACGGGGGCGGGCACAGCTGGCTCTGCCTCTAGATAGGCCGAGCCAGCTGTCAATCACGCAGCTGGGCGGATCTCGACAGTAATGTTCCGGCTGCGGCGTCTCAGTATACCGCGAGCTGTAGCTCCCTATATACTGAGCTTAGGGTGACGGGAGGACGCTAGTTTGTGTCCTCCCGTGACCCTGAGGAGAACTATGGGGAAAGCCCTGACCCCATCGTTCTCCTTTAATATCTACTGTTGGTTGGATGGCCATTCAATTTGATTTTTTTTTAAATTCTTATCAAAATAACAATGAAATGCTTTTGTGGTTTCGAAACCGGGATGGACTACAATCTCAGGTTTAGTTTACTAATTTGTATTGAGATTGTAGTCCATCCCGGGAGCGAGCTCGGAGCGGTGACTACATCACACACAGGTACCATGGGGAACAGACGTAGCCCCCCTCCAGAAGGAAGGACGGTGTCAGAGATGATTGGAGGATCTCCAGCCGAGTGACACACAAATAAGATACATTGTTGCTCAGAGTTCGGGGACTCGGAGGGATTTGTAAGATTTATCTCTGGAGTTTAGTGTCGCTTTAAAAGGAGAACTATGAGGGGGGAGGGGCTTTTCACTCACCTCATAGTTCTAGCCGACCTGTGACAATGAGACTGTCACAGGTCGGCTCAGTAGATCGGGAGGTGAGAGAACACATACCGGCGCTCGCTCACCTCTCGATCCTGTCATGGCTCTCTGCCATGACGGGCTTGATTCCCCGCTCCGATCCGCCAGCGCTGACTGGCGGAACGGACGGGGGAGGGGGCGGGTAAAGCTGGCTCTGCCTCCAGATAGGCAGAGCCAGCTGTCAGTCACGCAGCTGGGCGGATCTCCACGTCCATGTCGGGATCCGCTCCGGCGTCTCAGTATACCGCGAGCTGTAGCTCTCTATATACTGAGCCTAGGGTGACGGGAGGACGCTAGTTTGTGTCCTCCCGTTACCCTAAGGAGAACTATGGGGAAAAGCCCTGACCTCATAGTTCTCCTTTAAGAAAAATGTCAACCTTTAGGCCGGATTCACACCTTTCCATGCGTTAACGACCATCACGCACTGCCATTGTCATCAATGGGCCTCACAACTCAAATAATTCAATAGCAGAACGCACATCAATGCATCGCAGAGATCACAAACGCTTGCATGCGCTGATTAGAAACATGCGGCTCTGACCGGAGTCTTAAAGGAGATCGGATTATTTTTTCGATATTTCAATTTGATCTGAAAATTAAAAAACAACTTTGAAAAGTAACAATTTGCGGGTTTTTTTTTCCCCCCCAGTATTTGTTTAGAATAAAATAATAATAAAAAAAAAGCTAAAATGGAAAAGCCGGAAATGTTTCCAATCATTTTTATTATTGTTGTTCTCATGTTCCCACCGTACAGAAGTATTATTAATCAGATGAAGATTCCCATCGTGACTGGAGAGTGAGGAAAATACACACAATAAAAGAAAAACAAATAGGAAATCACAACAAAAAAAAAAGATGCAGAATTTATAC